TGTATGACACATACCTCCTTCAGATCATAGATATACTTATCACAAGCAATCTCAGTGATGCCAATACTAGCCAACTGCTTCTGTAGCTTCTCAGTGAGAGGAAACAGCAAAATATGAAGATAGTCAGGAATAAGATAATGCAAGTGAAGAGAGCCAATGGTTACAAACGAGAAGTATAACCTCATCTCTGGAATATCGAACTCTCGTGGTATGGCTCTATGAAAGAAGAAAAGGTCTGCTAGTGTGTAGTCTTCTCGCTCGACTTTAGCAATCATGACTCGTGTACCAGGAGGAGCATCCATTATACCAAACTGTACAGCATCAACGTCTTTTAGCAAACCACCACTGTTAATGAAATAGTCCTTTAACTTGTCTTCATACATTGACCACATCCTCTTTAGCGACCTTTTCTTTCCAAGAAAAACAGAAACAAGTCGAACGATAATTTCATAGTTGAACCATGATATGTACTTATCTTGCAAGACAGTAAAGAGATCTTTGATACTTTTAATGCTACAGAACTCATCTCTAACTGCTCGCACTGCATCTTGGTTGGTTCTGTGAGGGCCCAATAGAGCAAGAATGTGAATCTCGAGGTAATCAATAATTTTAGGAAGAATTTTTGGCTTCAAAAATCCTTTTGTTACTCGAATAGCTTCAGCAAATTCCTTCTGGAGATCATATATTTTATTTAAAAGTGAAAAATTTCTTTCAGAACCAACGTAAATTGAGGTGCCTAAAAATTGAAATTATCAAATAAATACATCTTACCAAAGATAGCAATAGCAAAGACATGAGTGTCATAATAATTATTATAGGATTTCTTGACTAAAGTGTATAGGTTTGGCCAAATTTTGCCAAAAATGGCAAGAATAGAATCATCCATTTTAATAATTTTTAGCCAGATTATGAGCTTAACAGAATGAATTTTACCTTTTGAAGTGGTTGATTTTATATAGGACACATCTTCAATTGCACCCTCAGCAACTGGTAGCAAGTGGTTAAGAGATATTTCTTGTGCTAGTGCTGGGTTGCCTCCTCCTTCTTTAACGGCTACACACATGATCCTCCAACATGGAGGACTGTGAGTCTCATAGTCGTAGTCTTTTCTCAGCCAATACTCAAGAATCTGCTGTAGACAAGAAAGAGGGTTTCCCTGATGAGTAGCTTCTATACTGTTGATGTCACTCATTCGCAGTCTCAGTGATATAGCCATTGACTTCCAGTGGGAACTAAGAGACTTGACCTTATCATAAACATCATAGAAATCACTGATGCCTGGAGTAAAGAAAGTGATGTTATCATAATTGAGAGCAATGGGCCAATGAATATAGTAAGCTATAGTACTGAAGAAGTGTAGCTGCTTTGTTTGGTATTACCGTATAGCCGTTTAATTTCTAGGGTACAACTTTCACTGTTTTCGCGGATTTCCGTACTCGCCAAAGTTAATTCCGTGAAATATCCGTATTGCCCATAAACACGTGTGCTTTAAAACAAGAACCGCGAAAGTTAATTCGCGAAAAAAGACTTGTGGCCTGATTCGTGAAAGTTTATTGCCTCGAAACTTTGTGGCTATACGGTATATTGCAGTTTACTCATAAATGCTTTCACTTTCATGTCTTTAAAAATAAATTTTAAGGCATAGTGATAAATCTGATTAACAATAGTGTTTAATTAGTATTATTATTATAGTAGTAAATATTGTGGGAACACGTAATTGAATTATTACAATCCAATTGACAACAGTAGCTATTAATGTTGTTATTACATTAAGGTGTTTACCTATGCCCAAGAGTACACGCCTGAGGCAAGGACTAGATACTACTGTTGTCTGTCTGTCATTCATATATATGATGTAATCTGATTAACAACAGGTTCATATTAGTATTATTATTATATATAGTAGTAAATATTGGGAACATGTAAGTGAATTAATACATTAAATCAAGTAGCTGTTAATGTTATTACATAAAGGTGCTTTACCTTAGTCTCGCTAGCCAGACCATACCATTCCCCAGCCTACAGTCATTCCACCCAAATGACTGTAGGCTGGGGAATGGTCTGGCTAGCGAGACTAGCTTTACCTATGTCTGTCTGTGGCATGATAAGGTTGCATACATTCACTACAATAGATAAGTATAAGTTTTAGGGTTACTCTGATTCTATTCTAGTTTTTTGACTCCTCAGAACTCTTAATCAGTAAAATATAATTCTGTTTCTCACTATCAGCTAGCAAGTAGCAACCAAATTTTATGAGCATGGTCAGCGGGTTAAAGATGGCTCCATTAAAATTTAAATGGTAAACCAAATGCAAATAGTGCAAAAAGTCAATAGATTTAAACTCACAACTTTTGCAATAAAAATCAACTATACAAGCAAAGGAACTAACCTAATTCTTTGTCACAAACGTTTACAAAAGATTGTTGGCGAAGCGACACGGTCGACATAATGGTAGATACAGGGGGAAGCTAGATCTAGCTAGTCAATTTGGAGGTGTGGCTCATAGATCTAATAATGAAATGATTAAAATTGCTTGCAAGGTGTTTTACCATAGATACTACATACACACATGGATATGAAACAGGATGCGCTCGATCCTTGGCGCCGGAAGTGATGTATCGTGACGTTTACACTACACGTGTATAAGCATGGCACAAGCAAAATAGTGAAGAAATCCAGTTGAATTACTTACTAAAGCTCAGGTCTACAACTATAGAAGAGTTACAATCGATATTCTAGTTCTAAAAAGTGAAGATCTACTATTACAAGAAAGAAT